AGGGACACTCACATGGCAGAAGGCGTGTTCCCGGGCGCGGTCGGCAGACACCAACCAGGAGGTGTGTGCATCTGCGGTGACCAGGGAGGGGTCAGCGCACCAATCCAGAGGATGTGGACCCAACACCACTAAGGGGAGTGCACAGGTGGCCCCGCACCACAAGGAAGCCCTCCATTCATCTGCGGGTCCCACCGGATGGGGGCTCGCATCCTGGGTTAGGGTTAGGGAACCGTCCTGAGGACAAGCCGGGCGACAGTGCCTGCGAATTCCAGAGGGGAGCCTAGGGAGCCGCTGGAGTCATGGGGAAGGGGGGTGGGATGTTGCAGGAAAGGGCTCCGTGTCCCCCACTTCAGCTCTGAAGGGAGCAAAGCTCCGCACTGAACGCAGCGGCCCGCCCGCGATGGACGCTGCTGGCCCAGGCGAGGGACCCTCCCGGACTCGGAGGGGGAGGAGCAGGCCATGGTAGTCAGGCACAGCTGCGTCGTGGCTCCGGCCCTCGAAGCCGGTGCGAGAGGGCCCGAGTGCCCAAACAGAGGCCGCTAGGGGCCCAGAGAGGAAAGCAGTCAGCACTAAGGATGAAAAACATAGGGTTTTAGCCTGCAAAAGGGTAAAAGGGTGAGGGAGGAGCGGGAGGATGGGAAAGGGGGATGAATGGAGGGAAGAACATTTTAAAGAAGTCAGTAGAGAGCAGAGTTAAAGAAGGAAAGAGGATGTATGAGTGAACTGTAGGAGCTATAATGAAAATCAAATGTAGTGTGTACCGGAGACATATTTTTAAAAATAGGAACCAGAAAAGAAAAAAGATAAGTGATAGTGAATAATTAGTCAGGTAGATAGATATTAAAACATTGGAAGTAAGTAGAGAAGAATGTATGGGAAAGACAGAGGGGAGAAAAGTTTTAAAGGGGAGCCAGTAGAACTTAAAAGGAGAACGGGGAGAAGGAAGAAATGGGGGAGGGAGCAAAGTAGGTCCGAGGGAGAAAGTGAAGAAAAATATGAAGGTGGGGAGGGAGGAAAAGGGGAGGAGGGCAGGGTAAAGATAAAGGAAAGAAGGAATGTGGGGAGGGAGGATAGGAAAAAGATGGGGAGAAGGATGATTGGACAGAAGTAGGAAATAAGGAGGAAATAAAAGTTCAGTAGGAAAAGGTGTTACATTAAGGATAGAGAAAAATTGTAGGAGAAGCCAATAAAGAAGTCAAATACAATTGTGTGTGAAGGGGCTAAGATTTTTTTTTAAGTTAATAGCAACCAGGGCAGCAGGGGAGGGCAGTTAGGGGTGACCATGCTGGCAGGGGAGGGCATTTAGTGGGATCAGGCCGGCAGGCAGAGTGGTTAGGGCAAGCAGGCAGGTGAGCTGTTAGGAACCAGAGGTCCAGGATTGTGAAAGGGATATCCAGCTGTCAGTTTAGGCTGGATTGGCAGTTGGACATCCCCCCAGGGTTCCTGCATTGGAGAGGGTACAGGTCGGGCTGAAGGACCCTTCCCCCTGGTCCTCTATAATATGCCTATGGCATATGTGTGTATGTATATACTTACTTAGGTATATATTCTCTGCACTTAATATATAAAATAGCTGTTTAGACACCTCAACTTAATATGTCTTTTATTGATTTTTAGAGAGAGAGGGAGAGAGATAAAGAGAAACACCAATGAGAGAGAAAGAGGAACATCATTGATTGATCCACTGCCTCCTGAACACCACACCCTGGGGATTGAGGCCACAAGCTGGGGGCATGTGCCCTGACCAGAACTGAACCATGACCTCTCAATTTCTGGGTCCACACTCAACCGCTGAGCCACACCAGCAGGGCAGACACCTCAACTTAAATATCCTATTATAATGTCATAGTTACAAGTCCCAAACTGAAGGCATTAATTCCTTTCCCAAACCTCTTCTTCCTCTCCCGTCCCGTCCCGTCATTATGTCACCACCAGCTAATTACTCTATCTGAGAAACCCAGCTGCCACCCACATTCTCCCATTCACCCCTTCCACCATCACTAGGCTCCCCTGACCTGTTCCTCCCTGGAATTAGTGCCAACACCTCCAAGGAAGCCTTTCTGTGCAGGGTTTAATATTGCTACGCCCTCTCCAAAAATCCCCCCTTCCTACTGCTCTCAGGGTGATCTTTCAAATATTAAACAAAAACAAAAATCAACCTGTAAAAGGTTCAAAATGCGATCCATGCCCCCTCTCCTGCCTCACGCCTCCGCTCAGGCTGCTCGCTGCACCCTCTTTCTGCAGCGAGAGCCCGATCTGTCCCCGCGGTCCCAGGGCGGGAATCCACCTGCAGAGACGGAAGATTAAGGGTTTCACGTGGACGGAGTTGCCTGACTAAAGTTGTATTTCCTAGGACGGCAGGCTGCCAAGAATCGCCGCACGTTGTCCCTCCTGTGGGCCCAGCGGACAGGAGATGGGCCGCCGCTCTCCCCCGGGGCGGGGGCGCCGCCCGCCTCAGGGCACGGCCGCGCTGGGGTCCCACAGGCTGTTCCTGCGGGCGCGCTCCGCGCTCTGCGAGCCTCTCAACACCTCGGACCCTGCTCCGCACCCCTCCCAGCCACCCAGACCCGCGGTCCGCTCCCCAGGTCATGGTGGCGCCCCCTTTCCCCGCCCCTGGGCCCCGCCCACAACCTCACCTCCGCGCTCCACAGGCCAACCCGCCCAGCCGCGGTTTGCCCCGCCGCCGCGCTCTTTGCCCCGCCCACAAGCCCGCCCAGCCCAATCACTTTTTGCCCCGCCCACAAGCCCGCCCCTTCCAATCACTTTTTGCCCAGCCCACAAAGCCCGCCCCCGCCCCATCGCTCTTTGCCCCGCCTACAACCCCGCCCCGGCCCGCCAAGTCGCCCCGGCCCCGCCCCCAAGCCCGCCCCCGCCCAGTCTCCCTTGGCCCCGCCCATAACCCCGCCTCCGCGTCCCTCAGGCGCCCTCGGCCGGGTCTCGACTCCCCCGACGCCCTGCGGAGGCCGTTCCCCAACGGGCAGCGGTGCTGTGGGCCGCCGCGCCGGGGCGGAGCTGGCGACCCCACTGCTGAGCCGGACGTGGAGGCGGTAGGTGTCGGAAGCCGCGCTGGGCGGGCAGAGGCGCTGGGAGGCGGAGGCGCTGGGCGGGCAGAGGCGCTGGGAGGCGGAGGCGCTGGGCGGGCGGAGGCGCCGGGCGGGCGGAGGGAGGAGCGGGCTGGAAGGAGGCGGGCCCAGCGCCGGCGCCGTCCCTGCCGGTCCCCGCTGAGGCCGGGCGAACCGCCCGAGCGGGCCTCCGCCGACGGGGTGCCGCGCCCGCGGCCCAGGAGGCGGGGTAGGAGCCGTTCCTCGTCGCCCCGCCGCCGCCCTCCCCGATCGGGCAGAAAGGCCCCCGGGCCGCAGGGCCTCGCTGGCGAGCGGAGAGCAGCCGCGCGGCCGGAGCGCCGTCCGTGAGGAGGACGCGGCGGGAAGGGACCGAGAGCGCGGGGTCCCTTCGCCGGCCGCGCGGGAGCTGGAGACGCGCCTGCGCCCTCCGGCGGCGGCCAGCGCTGGCGGCGGCGCGGACGGGACGCGCGGGACGGGTTCGCGGCCGAGAGGAGGCGCGGTGGGGCGGCCGGGCGCGCTGCTGCTTCCCTTGGATGTGAGTGTCCGCTTCCCAAGCGAGCGGCCCGGGGAGAAGGCTCACCTGCCCGGCCGCTGCCTGGCCGCCTCTGCTGGTGACCCTGGTCTCGGGGACCGTCCGCGCACCTCGGGGCGCGTCACTCTCGGCCCCGGGTCCGCGGTCGCCGAGCCGCTGTCCGGAGCAGCGCGGGCGCTGCCCGCCCCCAGCAGCGCGGGGTCCCAAGACCCCGACTTTCCAAAGAGCCGCTTTGGGGTGGGAAATGGGGCGGAATCTTAAGTGGTTGTCATGTGGGAATAGACACGAGGCCGGTGAAAGCCTGGCCTTCTGCTTAGCTTGCTTCTTAAATCTTACATGAGCTTATTTCTCCTTTGGAAGGAAAGTCTTAAAAGAACGTGTTGCTTGACTTATGAGTCACAGGCATGAGTTCGATTTGGCTGTGTTGAACTTGAGGTGTAAGATAAGATATAAATGAAAAAACCTTTGGGAAATTAGAGAAGTAAATGAATTTACAAGAAGAGGATGCTGGCTATGGCCATCCCATGCAGGTAGATAGTTGGATAATGAGGGTGGGTGAGGTCAGCTGAGAGAACCAAAGCCACCTTGGGGAGAATCCTACCTTTCCTTGGCATGAGGAAGAGGAATGGCTGAGGAAACCAGGCGAGGTGATTAAGGAATCCTATCTAATAATCCTATCTAATAAAAAAGTAATATGCAAATTGATCATCACTCCAACACAAGCTGGCTGCCCCCATTTGTTCAAAGATTGCCACCATAAGATGGCCAGCAGGAGAAGGGTGACCAGACCTGCAGGGAAGGGCAGTTGGAGGGTGGGGGGAAGGGGCTGCCCAAGCCTGGAGGGGAGAGAAGTTGGGGGGCACCCAGGCCTGCAGGGAGGGCAGTTACGGGTGACCACCCAGCAGAGGAGGGAAGTTAGGGGCAAACAGGCTGGCAGGGGAGCAGTTAAGCATCAATCAAGCTGGCAGGGGAGTGGCTAGGGGCTGATCAGGCTGGCAGGCAGAAGCGGTTAGGGGCAATCAGGAAGCTAGGCAGGCGAGCAGTTGAGAGCCAGCAGTCCTGGATTGTGAGAGGAGTTCCAAACTGGAGAGGGTGCAGGATGGGCTGAGGGATACACACCCTCATGCATGAATTTCATGCACGAGGGCCTCTAGTTAGGGAATAAAGCAGAGGAAAAGCGGAAGGAAACCGCCGAGGGACTGCTCAGTGTAGCGGATGCTGTGAAGGGGTCTAAGTGGTCACATTTGTTTTCAATGCTGCTCTTATGTTTCCACCCTAACTTATAATATCTTCAAGGGAATGTTGTGGTTATTTGCATATATGTTAAAGCATATAGGTTGTCTTGTCCAAAAGATAAAAATGTACATTTCCCTTCTAAAGTATGGAACCTCAAGGTCTTTGTGATAATGGAAACCAAAAAATTGATTGGTAAATCGCTTCAACCAGCAAGACCTGTTCGACATCTGGCTTCTTCTCCCTCTGGTGAGCAATGTCAGGCACACACCTTTAAATATTAATTGGTTAATGGCTAATTAGCATTTAAAAGGCAAAATTATACATAAAGTAATTGTGTATGGTGAATATTAAAGAAATAATGAAAACTAATGATCTCCCAGAACACCTTAAAAGTATTACCAAAGGAAAGGGTTCTTAATAGTCTACCAGTCCAACAAAAGTAGGAATAATAAACCTGATGTGAGAGCAACTTTGTGTATTTTTTATTTTAACTTTCATGGTTAACTGGCTTCTATGTAAAATGGCCCAGTGTAAATTGTGCCTGTGGTTAGGATCACTGCAGTACCAAATTGCTGGAGAGAGAATTAACCTTTAAAAAACATACCCAACTGCAGAGAGAGAGAGAGAGAGAAAGAGAGAGAAAGAGATAGAGAGATTAGTACCAAACAAAACTGCTTGAATTGGGGCATACAATGTAATTATTCAGGAAATCTAAACTAAAAAAATATATCTAAAATTAAGATTTTTTTTGCTAATAAAACTAATCTTTTGAACAATTCTTGAAATACTTGGTTTTTAAGTCCTACATTGAAATATTAGCCATTTAATGCTTTTCATTACTTGTTGTCAGAACAGCTTCTATATTCTCTGCTCTTTTTAGTCCATGTGTTTAAATAATGGGCTCCTCAGAGAAAGGAAAACAGCCCTTTTATCAGGTTCAGAGGTGGAGAGGGAAGACAGGCGGGGCACTGGGCCCTCAGGCCTCCTTTCCCTCCCAGCCATGGCTCCTGCCAGGAAGACCACTTGGTCAAGCTCCTCTGGAGATGCTTCAGCTTAGGACTCACAGAGCAATTGAGAGTCTCCTGAACGGGGCTCAGCTCTGCTGCCACTCCTGGTGCTGAGGAGGGCTGGGGTCACCGGTAGATGGTGTCCGGAGGAAAGAACACAGCCATCCTCACCTGTGCAGATTCAGGCTCACTGGCCTTCCCTCCAAGGCCACTGCAGGGGTCCGTTACGGGGAGGGGACCAGGTAGCCCTGATCCCTCATTGAGTTCTATTCTTTCAGGATCCAGACAAGAGAGGGTTGTATTAGGCAAAATTTAGTATATCAGAAGTTATTCTGGCTTTTCTCAACATACCTCTGCATTTTTTATCTATTTCACGTCCCCAAAGAAATACTTTTCTTTAAGACCCAGATTTAATTATTTTCTTTTTTTTTAAATAAGTTTTTATTGTTCATATTATTATAAATGTTCCTTTCCCCCCCACCACCATTGCTCTCCTCCACCAGGTTCCCACCCCACCCTCTGCCCTTTCCCCACTCCCCATTGTCCTCATCCATAGGTGCACAGTTTATGTTCAGTCTCTTCCCACATCCCCCTCTCCCCTTTTCCCCAAGAATCGTCAGTTCACTCCCCTTCCATATCTCTGATTCTATTATATTCAACAGTTAATATTGTTCATCAGGTTTTTTTTTTTTTAATTTCCTTGGGTTTTAGATTCACTTGTTGATAGTTACATATTTGTTGTTCATAATGTTTATCTTTATTTACTTTCTCTTCTGAAAGAACCCCCTTCAGCAATTCATATAATTCTGGTTTGGTGTTGATGAACTCCTTTAGCTTTTTTTTTTATTAGTGAAGCTCTTTATCTGACCTTCAATTCTGAGTGATAGCTTTGCTGGATAGATTATCTTTGGCTGTAGGTTCTTACTATTCATCACCTTGAATATTTCTTGCCATTCCTGTCTGGCCTGCATGGTTTCTGTTGAGAAGTCAGCTGACAATCGTATAGGTGCTCCTTTATAGGTAACTACCTTCTTTGCTCTTGCTTCTTTTAATATTCTCTCTTTGTCTTTTGCTCTTGGGATTTTAATTATGATTTGTCTTGGTGTGGTTCTCTTTGGATTCCTTTTGTTTGGAGTTCTGTGGACTTCCTAGACTTGTAAGTCTAATTCTTTCACCAGGTGGGGGAAGTTTTCTGTCACTATTTCTTTCAGTATGTTTTCGATATCTTACTCTCATCTTCTGGGACCCCCATAATTCTGATGTTGGTTCGCTTGAAGTTGTCCCAGAGGTTTCTTACATTAACTTCAATTTTCTGGATTCTCTTGCCTTCTAGCTTCTGTGGAGGAGTGCCTTCTGGCTCTTTATGTTCCAAATCTTTGACTTGATTTTTGCGATCTTCCATTCTGTTTTTAGGACTCTGTATAATATTTTTTATTTCAGACAATGTATTCTTTATTTCTTGTTGATCCCTTATCATTTCTTGTTGCTCCCTTATTATTTCTTGTTGATTCCTTATTAATTCTAGTTGATCCCTTTTCATATCCTCATAGGTCTTATCCATCTTTTCTAGGAAATTCTTGAAAAACCTTATAAGCGTAGATTTGAACTCTATATCCAGTCGCTTTTTGTCCTCCATTTCTTCCGTTTGTGATCTATTTCGTTGTCGAATTTTGCAGCTACAGATGGGGCGGGGTTTCAGGGTGGAGCCTGCAGGCTTGGCTTCCGTCAGCCCCGTCCTATGCGGCTCCTGGGTCTCAGGGTCCTTCAGTACTCGTTGCAAGCGCCTCTGAGAGAAAGGCGCCCTCGATTTTCGCCTGCTGCCAAACAGTCTAGTCTCTCCCCCAATGAGCCCGGTATTGGGGTTCAGTTCAGTTGGAAGTGGAGTTGGAGGTGGTGTTCAGAGCAGACTGGAGCCCCTGTCTCCTTCCCGCCAGGGCAATTCCGAGGCACAGCCAACCATCCCTTCTCTGCGCGCAATGTGCACGGCGCCGGGACCCCCTTTCGCCGCTCCCCTGGGGTTCCACCTCGCAGCCCAGCTCCCTCTGTGTGAGCCTGGGTCCCTGGGGTCTGGCCTAGAACTGGGGTTCAGAGCAGTCAGAACAGGGGCCCGACACGGTCGGAGTTTTATCTCCTTTCCGCTTGGGAACGCCAGCCAGGCACTCAGCCTCCCTCCTCTCCGGCTCCGTCCTCTCTGCGCGCCACGTGTCTCCGTACCTTAGGCTTTTCCAGCTCCTCCACACTTCCTTCTGGTTTTCTCCTTGCTTCTTGTTGTAGAATTTCCAGTCAGTCGACTTTCCTGTAGTTCTGGGTAATGTCCATTTTATATTGTAGTTGTATTTTATTGAAATTGTTGTGTACGGCTGTGGCTAGGTGTTTACCTGGGTGCAGCCATCTTGGATTCCTTTAATTATTTTCTTAATGAAGACTTGCTGAAGCCTCTCCGCTCTCCCTTGCATTTTCTCTGAATCTCATATGACTTGTTTTATTGGCATTATTTATGAGCTTGTGCTTTAAAATAGACTGTGGACTCTCTGATTTCTGAACTCTTTCACACTTACATACCTTATCAAACACAGTGACTGACATTTCATAGTATTGAATAAATGAACTATCAAAAAACATTTTAAAACAGTGCTTAGAATATTCTGGGCAATTAAAAGTTTTTAGGTATTAGTATATCATTTATTGAAAGCATGGATATTTAAAATAGTTTTATTTTTTCTCTCCTAACAGGAGCAGTATTCCCTTTCAACTTTCAAAATGAATATCCATGCAACACTCAGTACTTGCAAAGTGGAGTTAGCCGAGTAGGTCTTAGAAATTATGATGGTAACATGAAGCGTTACAGGCTGGAAAGTAACATTGGTCAGAGTACTGTTGTGTGTCCGCTACTTTGCTAAGTGCTTAAATACTTTTTAAAACTTTATATTAATTTCAAGCATTTTTAAAAAGGATGAAACATTCACTATACTTGCTGCCCAGCATTTTCAAATTGAAACCTTTTGCTATATTTTAGAAAATTTTAAAAACTTTGCAGATACTTAAAACTGCCACATGTCCCTCTTCCAACCCCTTCCTTCCTACACTTCTCCAAAATAACTGTCCTAGGTGCCATTGTTTCCATGATTATATCAGTTTTTTGCTACAACAAATAGAACTTTTAAAAATAATTTTATATAAATAACATTGTACCACCTATTTTTTTATTTATTTAAGTTTATATTGTTAAAATTAAAAACAGACAAAATGGCCTTCCACCCCCCACTCACCTATTTCTTTTCACCAGAAGTAGCCATTGTACCTGTTTCTTATCTAGATACTTCCAGAAATGCTGTTCATTCTTCTAGTTTATTATATCTCACAGTAAGAATTTGTAAGACCAAATCTTTGACATTGTCAAAATTCTATTTTCTTCTGACGACTTATTCTGCTGTCTCAGGAGAGTAGGTTCACCCCATTGCTCCTCATTGTACCATAGGTTAGATGTTAACTCTCTGGCTTCAGGCAGAGTTATCATGCTAGACTTTGCAAGAATGGGCTACAACTTGCTAACAGTGACTGATAGAGCAGAAATACTCATTTTTTAGAAAATATATATATTTTTTATTTCAGGGAGGAAGGGAGAGAGAGAGATAGAAACATCAATGGAAAGAATCATTGATCAGCTGCCTCCCATTGGGAATCTAGCCTGAAACACAGGCATGGGCCCTGACTGGGAACCAATCAGCTACCATGGAGCCATGCCCACCAAGCGAAAAGTTCGTTGTTAAAGATAGATGTCTGCAAAGAACCTACCTTAGGTAGTTACCCTGGCTGTGGTCTGTTGTTTTGCAAATTAATTTTCATTACCATAGAGGGAGATCATCTCTAAGGGGTAGATTGTAATGACCAAGTACATGACACTGATTTATATAATCAGAAAGCCCATTACTTTATAATGAGAGATCTGGCTGCCTTGTGCTCTGAGATTCTCTTATTGGTTCTATTAGTATATTATCTTCTTTAAGGAGATTTATGGACAGTTAAATTATAACCGAATATTTCTTGGTGGGCACGTAATAGGGGAATTAAAATTAAATTTATTTTATCAGATTAACTTAGCAAATATCATAATAAAGATGGTCCTGCAAGTAGGACCGAAAACCTGGGCTCAGACATGTCGCTTTTTTCTTTTTGCTTCATTGGATGAAACAATATTTTCTTTTTCTTATTTCTAAGGTAGTGTGTGAAACAGTTTATATGTTTGTAACTGACACCAAGGTTCTACTTTACATAAAATCAAGCAAAGTAAATATTATAGTATTGCAGGTTTTGGGGAATAAATATGTGTTTCCATGAACTAAAACCTATTTTAAAAAATCCTCACCCAAGGATACATTTTTATTGATTTTAGAGGGAGAGGAAGGTAGGAGAGAAAGAGAGAAACTTCTATGTGAGAGAAACATTAATGCTCCCTTCTGTATGTGCCCTGACCGGGATCAAACCAGCAACCTAGGTATGTGTACTGACTAGGAATCAAACCCACAGCCTTTAGAGAATGGGATGGCACTCCAAGCAGTTGAGCCACCCGGCCAAGGCTAAAATCTGTTTTTATTTCTTTGGAATTATTTATCTTTAGGATCATATTATTCATCTTCAGTTTTATGGTCCTTTTCCAAAATAATTATAATCATGACAAAAAATATATATGTGAGTATATTTTCAGAGATATCTGTATTGCTTATTTTAATAAATATACTATCATATTGCTTATCATTTAGCCAAAAAAAAATGCCTTGACTAATACTTCGATAATTGAGGAAAATATTTTTGAATTATGGGTTTTATAAAATTTTTATACCTAATTAAAACGTGAGTTTTCTTCTTCCAACAGTGTAAGGCAAATGGAATGCAGGCCTTTTCTCAGGGTCTCGGTGAGCAACCGCAACATCAGTCTCCAGTTAAAAAAGGTAACTTTTTATTGTAAGTTCAAGATTTCATAAGAGTTAGTAGTTATGTGGAGTTAATTTTTTCTTTGCTGTATAGATATTTATTATAGTCTTTTGGTTGATTTATGCACATATTGGTCAAGCTGTAAACCATCATAACAATCGCTTAAGCAGGCAGAAGCTTATTGTGTATCTTATGTGTCGTGTACAATTTTGAACTTCCATGGCATTCCTGAAGATACCCCTGGACATGTGCAAGGTAGAAACGACCCTCCTGTGCTTCTCCTGGACCCTGCTGCTCTCTGTACTCACGGCACTTCGGACACAAGATGTGCGCCGTTTCCATGTAGCAAGCAATTTGCAAAACCACCTGGGGTTTTATAATCCAATCCAATCCTGACACTAGTTCATACAGACTCCACAGGTACAGGGCTCAGTCCCACAACCACATCCACCATTTCTTCTTTTTACTTGTAATCTTTGATATTGAAAGTATTATATATGTCCTCTTTTTCCCTGTTGACCTCTCTAATCCCGCCCCCCTTCCCCGCCCTTCAGGCCTTCACCACCCTATATGTGTTCCTGGGTGATGCATACATGCATACAAGTTCACTGGCTGGTTTCTTCCCACCTGCCCACCCTCCCCTGCCTTCCCTCTGAGGTTTGACAATCTGTTTGGTGCTTCTTTGTTTTTCTATCTATTTGTGTTCATCAGCTTATGTTGTTCATTGGATTCCACATATGAGTGAGATCTTGTGATATTTGTCTTTCTGCAACTGGCTTATCTCACTTAACATAATGCTCTTCAATTCCACCCATGCTGTTGCAAATGGTGGAAGTTCTTTCTTTTTTACAGCAGTGTAGTATTCCATCGTGTAGATGTACCACAGGTTTTTAATCTAATTATCTACTGATGGGCACTTACGCTGTTTCCAAATCTTATCTATGGTAAATTGTGCTGTTGTGACTATAGAGTTGCATGTGTTCTTTCTGATTGGTATTTCAGGGTTCTTGGGGTATATTCCTAGAAGTGAGTAAAATGGGAGTTTCATATTTAAGTTTTTGAGGAAACTCCATACTGTTCTCCACAGTGGCTGCACTAGTCTGCAATCCCACCAGCAGTGCAAGAAGGTTCCCTTTTCTCCACATTCTCGCCAGCACTTGTCATTTGTTGATTTATTGATGGTGGTCATTCTGACAGGTGAGAGGTGATTCCTCATTGTAATTGTAATTTGCATCTCTTTTTCTGGTCAATGATGTGAGCATTTTTTCATATGTCTCTTGGCCATCTGTATGTCTGTTTTGGAGAAGTGTCTCTTTAGGTCCTTTGCCCATTTTGTAACTGGTTTATCTTCCTTTTGTTAAGTTTTATGAGTTCTCTATAAACTTCATAGATTAACCCCTTATTGGATATATCCTTGGCAAATGTGTTCTTCCATGCAGTGGGCTCCCTTGTTATTTTGTGGGAACTTTCTACTTCTGAGCACACTTCCAAGTGCTAGGACCCAGCTTGCCCAGGACTTTATCTACCTTGGCAACAAAATGCAGGTTTCCAAGACCCCCTCTTTGGCTTCAGTCATTTGCTAGAAGATCTCACTTAGCACAGTCTGTTTCCTCTTTTTCTTTGGTTACTTGGCTTTCTTTTCTTGTAAGAGGAAAATTGGAAGCAAGCTTTCTGGCAGAGAAATAAGTCGTTTTATAAAATAATGGACAATTAAGGGATATTCAGAAAGCATTGAGCAGAAGTGATCTGGAAGAGTTCTGTGTTTTATAACATTTAATGTTTAATGTCCACAGAGAGAATTAAATACAGCAGAGATTTCCTATTGAAGCTCTCAAGTGTTTCCATCTGCAGGAAAAAACCAGACTTTCTGCCTGATCATCCCATTGTACTGCAAAAACCAGTAAGGAGTTTCCTCCTTTTTTTTTTTTTTTTAGAAGTTTTAAAAAATTTTTTAATTTATTGGGTGTCATTGGTTAATAAAATTATATAGGTTTTAGGAGTACAGTTCTATAACACATCATCTGTACATTGTATTGTGTGTTCACCACCCCAAGTCAGGCCTCTTTCCATCACCATCTATCCCCCCTTGCCCTCTGATAATCACCATTCTGTAGTCTGTGTATGAGGTTTTTTATCTTTTGCTTATGCCCTTTACATTTGTCATCCCCTCCCCTTCTCCCTCTCAGAAGTTTTTTAATTTTGTATAATTTTAATTCCAAAATATTTAATATTATCATTTTATTCACTCTCAATTTTTAAAAAAATATATTTTATTGATTTTTTACAGAGAGGAAGAGAGAGGGAGAGAGAGCTAGAAACATCGATGAGAGAAACATCGACCAGCTGCCTCTTGCACACCCCTTACCGGGGATGTGCCCGCAACCAATGTACATGCCCTTGACCGGAATCGAACCTGGGACCTTTCAGTCCACAGACGGACGCTCTACCCTACTGAGCCAAACCGGTTTCAGCTATTCACTCTCAATTTTTAATTGTTATCATTATAAAGCATAATGCATGAAATTACATAAATGTAAATGTATAATATAACCAATTACTGTAAGTAATTAACACACTAATGAAGAATTAGAATGGGTTCTGGCTGGTGTGGGTCAGTGATTAGAGCATCATCCCACGTACAGAAGGTCTTGGGTCTGATCCCTGGCCAAAGGCACATACTGGGTTCTAGGTTCAGTCTCTGGCCTCAGACGGGGCACATGTCTCTCTCTATCTCTCTCTCCTCCCATCTTTCCCTCTCCCTACCCTAGCCTTCCATTCTGTCCAAAAATCAATGGGAAAATATCCTTGGGTGAGGATTAATAAAACAAAATTAAAAAATAATTAGAATGGAATAGTTATATTTATTGAAAAGTCATGAAAAGAGTATTCCGTATCTATACATATAAAAGCCTAAGCGACCAAATGACGGGTCACTATGATGCGCACTGACTACCAGGGGACAGATGCTCAATGCAGGAGCTCCCCCTGGTGGTCAGTGCACTCCCAGAGTGGAAGTGCCGCTCAGCCAACTGAGGGATGCCAGATGCCGCGCTCATGGCTGGCGAGCACAGCTGTGGTGGTGCGAGCCTCTCTCCCGCCTCCACGGCCGTGCTACTGAGCAGCAACAGCAGCAGGCTCAGTGGGGCTGGGATGAACGGGTACTCAGCCCTGGTTCAGACTCCTCCCCAGCCACCTGCCACTTGGTGCACTACTGCATCCCCTGAGGGGTCCCAGATTGCAAGAGGGCACAGGCCAGGCTGAGGGACCCCACTGGTGCATGAGTCCATGCACCAAGCCTCTAATGCTCTTATAAAACTTCTGTTGGTTTGTTTTCTAATTAAGTTCTGTTATCCATCTAGAATTGATTTCGCTGCATAATGTGAGGTAAAAGTGTTTGTTTTCTTTCCCTCTCCATGTATCTTCAGTCATCCTAGCAATATTTAATGAGAGGCTAAGTCCTCTGTCACTTTTTTTGTGTTGTTTTTTTAAATCTTTTTTGCCAAGAGTATTGTGGATGCCCCCTTTTTCCCCATTTGCCCTCCTTCACTCAATTCATATTCTGCGCCAGGCCTTTACCATCCTATTGTCTGTGTCCATAGATAATGCATATAAGTTCTTTGGTCAATCTCTTCTTATCCTCCCATCCCCCTTCCTTCCGAGATTCATTAATATGTTCCATGTTTCCATGCCTCTGGTTCTAGTTTATTTATTAGTTTATTTTGATAGATTCGTTGTTTGTTTATTTTGACTTTTAGATTAAATTATTGATAGATAAGTATTTATTGCTATTTTATTGTTCATATTTTTATCTTCTCCACCCTCCTCCCTCCCTCTCTTCCTCTCCTCCTCTTCTTTTAATTCTGCTTTTCCTCCTCCTTCTCCTGTTTCTCTTTTTTAAGAATACCCTTGCCGAAACCAGTTTGGCTCAGTGGATAGAGCATCGGCCTGCGGACTGAAAGGTCCCAGGTTGGATTCCAGTCAAGGGCATGTACCTTGGTTGTGGGCACATCCCCAGTAGGGGGTATGCAAGAGGCAGCTAATGGATGATTCTCTCTCATCGATGTTTCTAACTCTCTATCCTTCTCTCTTCCTTTCTTTAAAAAATCAATAATAATAAAAAAAAAAAGAATACCCTTTAACATTTCATGTTATACTGGTTTGGTGGTGATGGGTGCTCCCTTAGGTAATGAAGTGCTTTTTTTTCTTGCTGCTTTTAAGAGTCTCTCTTTGTCTTTAACCCTTTGCATTTTAATTATGATGTGTCTTTGTGTGGGCCTCTTTGGGTTCCTCTTATTTTGGACTCTTTGTGCTTTCTGTACTTGTAAGTCTATTTCTTTCACCAGGTAGGGGAAGTTTTCTATAATTATTTCTTCAAATTGGTTTTCAATATATTCCCCTCTCTCTTCTCTTCTGGCACCCACATAATGTGAATGCTAGTATGCTTGAAATTGTGCCAGAGGCTCCTTACACTATCTTCATATTTTTTATTATTTTTCCTTTTTGCTTTTCTGATTGGTTTTTTTGCTTCCTCATATTCCAAATAATTGATTTGATTCTTGGTATCCTCTACTGTATTATTGAATCTCTGTAAATTATAAGTTACTTCAGGTAGTGTATGCATAATTGCTGACTGATCCTTTTTCATGTCTTTGACATTCTCACTAAGATTCTTGAAAGTCTCACTACATCCTTAGAAGCTTTCATAAAGATCCTTGAAGCTCTAGTTAATATCCTAGAGCATCCTTATAACTACAGTTTTAAACTCTGTATCTATTCGTTTGCTTGCTTCCATTTCACTTAGTTCTTTTTCTGGTGATTTCTTCTTTTCTTTCATTTGTAACATGTTTCTTTGTCTCCATATTTTGGCTGCTTCCCTGTGTTTTTTCTATATATTAGGTAGAGTTACTATGTTTCTAGAGTTACTATGTTTTCTAGAATTCATAAAGTGGCCTAGTGTAGTAGGTGTCCTATAAAACCCAATGACTTAGCCTCCCTAGTCACCTAAGCTGGGCCCTCTATGTGAGCTATGTGCACTGTCTTGTTGTAATTGAGCCTTGATTGCTGTTGGCATCACTGGGAGGAATTGATTCCCAAGCCCCTTGACTTTGAGGAACAGCTGTAACTACAATGGAAGAGCTGCTGTGCAGGAGACACCTCTATGGAGCAGGACTTGCTTCAGTGGGGCTTTGATGCTGAGTCTGTCCCCTGAGAGTGTCACTTGTGGATATATAGAGTTGTAATCTTGTGTGGTCTGAAGCTGTCCACCAGGTGCACTGGCTCTGGGGCCTCCCAGATTGTGCAAAGTCAGCCACTGCTGATAGGTGTCATAGAGTGATATGCAGATGTCTGCTTCTTGTGTTGGGCTTGAAAGTACCCAGGGGAGGCCAAACTGTGAGGTAAGGGACATGCTGAGTGCCAAGTCTTGGGCCCCTTATTGAGAGATATGGGACATGCTGAGTCCAGCTGCTGTTTGTTTGAGAGATTTTAGGAAAGTTTGAAACCTGAGCCAGGAAAGGCTATTCATATGGAAAAGCAGCTGCAAACAGCTTGGGAGGGGCTGAAAATTGGGTTGAGCAGGGTCTCAGGGAAACACCAGGGTGGAGTAAACAGTGTGTGCCAGGTTGGTGGTGATTCAGATATGGCCCCTGCCAGTCAGCTTTGTGAAGGGGAAGGTCTCAGCATAAGAACAATGAGTACCCCTGTGTATGACAAAGCTGCCTCTGCGTTCTTGCCCCAATGCCAGACAGTCCAGTTCCTCTCCATATGTTCCTGGATCCCCACCAAGCCACTGCCCCAGCACTGGAACTTAGGAGGGAGTGAATCCACTAAGTCCTAGTGGTAGCTTTTTAAGAGGAACTGCATGGGACTCCAGTAGCCTGTGTCACTCAGCCACAATCCTGCTGGTTTTTACAGCCTGGAGTTACTGGACTTCTCTTTCCAGCTTGGAGCCCTGGCCTGAGGAGGTCTGGTGTGGGCCTGGCACCCACTGTCCCTCCTTGGAAGCTTCTTCAGCCAAGATAGTCCTCCAGATTAAAAACGCCACACATTGGTGTCAGACCAGCCCATTCCGCTTCTCCACTCTTTGTCCCCTCTTCCCCTCCGTCCCTCCTACTTGTCTCAATGTGCTTTTTTTCTTTACTTCTCTAGTTGTAGGGCTTCCATTCAGCCAGATTTTAGGTGGTTCTGAATAATGGTGGTTCTTATTTTATAGTATTTCTTTTATTGATTTCAGAGAGGAAGGAAGGAGGAGAGAAAGAATCATCAATGATGAGAGAGAAACGTTGATTGGCTGCCTGCTGCATGCCTTCTACTGGGGATTGAGCCTGCAACCTGGGCATGTGCCCTCAAACCCAGGACCCTTCAGTCCACAGGCGGATGCTCTATCCACTGAACCAAACCAGCTAGGGCTGTTCTGTATTTTAGTTGTAATTTTGATGTGGTTGTGGGAGGCAGCAATTGCCACATTTACCTATGCCACCATTTTGGTTCTTCCCCCCTCTGCCTCTTTGTGGCTACAGTATGGTCTGTTTCTGGGCCTTCTATTCTGTTCATTTATTTGTTATTAAAATACATATTTTTATTGATTTCAGAGAAGAAGAGAGAGGGAGAGAGAGAGAAACATCAATGATTAGAGAGAATCATTGATCAGGTGCCTCCTGCATGGCCCCTCCTGGGGATTGCAAGCAGGATAGCTGGGGCGTGTGCCCTGATTAGAATTAAATTGTGACCTCCTGGCTCAGCCACCAAGCCACACCAGTCTGGCGCTTTTCATCTTTTTATAGTTAAGAAAAGATTCATGCCACTTATTCCTTTTTAGCATATTTCTGATGTTCGTAGTCTTACAGTTCTCTGCCACTTCATCAGATTCAATCAAAATAAATACACAAGCCCTAGCCAGCTTAGCTCAGTGGATAGAGCGTTGGTCTGTGGACTGAAAGGTCCCACATTCGATTCCGGTCAAGGGCATATGCCTGGGTTCCCCAGTGGGGAGCATGCAGGAGGCAGCCGATCAATGATTCTCTCTCATCATTGATGTTTCTATTCCTCTCTCCCTCTCCCTTCCTCTCTGAAATCAATAAAAATAAACAAACAAATAAATAAATACACAAAATAAGTAAAACTATATTTTAGGATATTGATGGGAAGTGCATGTGTTTTAGCTTGAGTTACTGTGTGTACCAGTGTCCTGTACAAACTCAGACAAGTCACTTAACCTTCCTGAGCCTCGGTTTTATAATGACAGATAAGAATGATGATCCGTACTAATTAACATTAAATTCCAACAATGTCTGAAAGTGCTTGGGATGGTGCTTATCTCTCATTAGGCACTCAGTAAATACTGACTTTCATCTTCTATGGTCTTACTTCCATAGTAAAGAACCTTCAGTTAGCGTTTTCAGAAACACTATAATGGTAAAAATAAAAAAGGAAAGGAAAGAAAAGCAACTGGGATTCTCTTGAGAAGAGCTCAGAATATAGGTTTGGTGAGAATGGCTCATACAGATACAGACTACCCACCTGTGTTTTCTGTTTTTGAGATTTTTAACTCATTAGACTTCATAGCCTTTTTTTCTTAATTATAAATTTTTAAATTTTTAACTTGCTCATAATATAGATCAATGTTTCTTAAAATTCCTAACTTGCACACCTCCAGCTAATTCTTATTTTTTAAAATTAAAGCAGGAATTTTAACTTTTTTTCATAATACCTTGTACACAGGAATATTTAAAGAGGATAAGTGTCCTTGATGATGCTTGAGTTTTCCTACCTGTTCACAGACCTTAGGAACATATGATCCTTGGTCTGTACAAATGAATCTGGAACTTAAATGCTTTATAAAACTTACTTTTTCAATTGCAAACTTTCCACCTCTAATATTTTATTTTGTAGATAAAAGTTGAGTATACTTATTATTTTGACCAATCCTTACACATTAGAATTGACTTTAATTTTGATACATTCATTAATAACATTTAAAAAAATTAAATACCGCATGCCGAAACCGGTTTGGCTCAGTGGATAGAGCGTCAGCCTGTGGACTGAAGGGTCTCACATTTGATTCCGGTCAAGGGCATGTACCTTGTTTGCGGGCACATCCCCAGTAGGGGGTGTGCAAGAGGCAGCTGATCGATGACTCTCTCTCATCAATGTTTCTAACTCTCTATCCCTCTCTCTTCTTCTCTGTAAAAGATCAATAAAAAATATATTTAAAAAAATAAATAAAATAAATAAATTAAGTACTACAAAAACATAACAAGTTTGGAATACAATCTAATATATTTAAAAATGAATTACATATGTTCTATTAATCACAGAAGAATTGTTTTGTTATTTGACAAATTCCAGTTTCTTTAATAGTTTCTATAGTAACATGCATTTAAGTCTATAAACACTTAGTAGGGTCACAGTATTTGGTTTGATAAAAAAAAATTAGCAAAAACTGCCGGGACCGGTTTGGCTCAATGGATAGAGCATCAGCTTGGGGACTGAAAGGTCCCGGGTTCGATTCCGGTCAAGGGCATGTACCTTGGTTGCGGGCATATCCCCAGTGGGGGGTGTGCAAGAGGCAGCTGATCGATGACTCTCTCTCATCGATGTTTCTAGCTCTCTGTCTCTCTCCCTTCCTCTCTGTATAAAATCAATAAAATATATATTTTTTAAAAATTAGCAAAAACTGTATTCATTATGTTTATCTTTTGTAATACAGGAAAACAACCAAAGTTTTAAGGAACACTTTAAGAACAGATGACTTTGAAGATAGATAATTATTTGTTTTATGTTTTGGACACCTGAAAATGAAGTGGATCTAGTAACAATAACTGTAATGGACTGTAACAATTCAATTTATTTTTAATTTTGATGGTTGGGTATTTGGTTTCTCCTAAAATGAGAAAGAGATATTTTAAACTATAAAGGATTTTCTAATCAGCTTCAGCTTTTCAAGCACTTTCCTGAATATATTGGGAAGAAGTACGTATGGCTAGCGACCTGGGAAGACTGTATTGATAACTTGCATGTACTTGCAGCCTTTTGTTTTTATCACCTGTAATAATGGAATGGAAATATAAGCTGTACAGATCCTCAAATATAAAGAATTTGCTGGATGTGTAGATGGCACGGACTTGTTGCTAAAGTGGCTTCTGTTTCCTAATTTCAGACCAGCCTGAGGGTCTGCCACCTGCGGCTGAGGCCGCGCCTGAGCAGGGCAGGCTCAGGGACATGGGGCTGTTTTCTTAGTCTTTGCAGAGAGGTGTTTCCAATCACAGTGTCTGGTTCACCATCACCAGCAAAGGGTGATAATTTGGAAACAATGGCAATGAATGAAACTGAAGGTGAAAAGTGCTGGTCAGACATCATGAACAGAAGCAATTGCAAAACCCATTCTATTCCAAAGGGGAAAAATTAGGCGTTGGCTAACAGCTGAGGTGCAATAAGATTCAGTTCTGTAATTTCTTTTATTTCTTATAACAAGAATATGTATAGATGAAGAATTGGAGGGCTTAAAAACTTTTAGTTCCTGGAATTTTTATACCACCTCTTGGAATTTGTCACTCTGGATATGACTTCTAGTCCTAAAGGTTCACTCCAGCATGGTGCCAAAAAGCATTGCTGACATAAAGGTAAGTGCAAGCTTCCCTGACTCTGGTTCTCTCAGGAGCGCTCGTCCTGGGGGCTGCTGGATGTAAAGCTGCCATTTGGCTGAAAGTTTTAGATTGAATCCTGAACTCCTAAAAATAATACATTTTTGTTCATTGGCCTTCAAGCTTGTTACCAGATTACAGCTTTAAGTCCATGGTAGGTCCCCCTCCTTGGTCTTTCAATACCCACCCCACTTTTCAAGGTTTTGTTCCCCAGAAAAGTAGGTAGATTGTGTTTTAAATAGAAAAAACTTCATTAACCATACATTAATTGGTCACTTTAAATTAGCCATCCATGGGGCCATTTCCCCTACTATTTTCCCTGATAGGCTTCCGTGTGTGTGTATATATGTTTGTGTGTGTGTAAATACACAGATGCTCTCTCACACAAAAACAGATGTATAATTTATGTAAGGACTCTTTGGTTTTTGCCTATTCTCAAATAGCCAAAAAGGTCTTTGAGTTCTAGTTAACAATACAATAGGACCTACATCAATTTGGAAGTTGCAGGGTGCTTCCGCTTGGCACTGCTGCTAAAGAGAGCACCTCCCAGTCACGCTGCCTTGCTGGCTCCCTGGGGAATTGCCTCATCCCCAAGGATGGAGTGCACTTTCTGAGTCTGACACTGAAATGGACTGGCCAGAATAATACTGTTATTGCTGTAATTTATATTTTGAAACCATTTATAGCCAATGTTTCAAGAAGAGTTTGTCAACAGTCCCCTGGGTTTGAGTCTCTTCCTCCTATGTTACTATACATAATCAGAGCAAAGATGTTTATTATCTCACATCTTTGTATATATGTATACAAAGGGCAGGTGCTACAGATAGTTTACAGATTTACAGCGGAATGACCACATCCCAGACATCCCAGTCCCACTGCCACTGCCTCAGACACTCCACTGTCCAAGCTCATAAGTTAAATATTTTTAACTGTCCATTGTCCACTGATGTTCTTTGCTTGGTATGTAAAGGAAACGTTGAGCCAAGTGTTTTCCATAGTGTTTCTCCTTTTTAGAAATGACCTGAGACACATGCATGTGTATGTGTGTGCATTATGTCAGCATTTATGTCCTATGTCTAGTGGGTCCAATGACAAAATTATTTTATTCAGATTGAATGAGGACTGTGGTTATACAAAGGAATTGATAAAACTTAATACTCCATGAATTAGTTTGAGAAAATATTTTAGGTCAAATTTTATACTTAAAAAAATTTTTGGTTCAGGCTTTCTTTTTTTCTGAATTTTCCAACAGGAAACATACATACACACACACACACACACACACACACACACACACACACACACACACCAGGAAAATCTTACCTCACAGTTTTTTCCTGGAAGACCTGTGGTTTCAAAGGAATTTGGACTACAGAATAATATAGTAGTTAATTTCTATATACATTGTATTTTCATTAGCAACATTTATCATCAAAATAGATTTTACTATGAAAAATATTTAACTTATGAGCTTGGACAGTGGAGTGTCTGAGGCAGTGGCAGTGGGACTGGGATGTCTGGGATGTGGTCATTCCGCTGTAAATCTGTAAACTATCTGTAGCACCTGCCCTATTTTATTATTTCCCTAAAATTGGTGCTATTTTTTCTTTGTTCACTTAGATTAAAACTTTTTAAAAGTATTTGGAAATATAAATGTCTATTTTTCATTAGAAAATTTAGCCCCCTGGATCATAATGCCATAAACTATGAACCAGATTTTTTCAAAGTTAAACTCTCCCTCCATTTTTCTTGATTTACTTGTCTTATATCCATGGAATTATGATAGTGGTAATACATAATGATGTCACAGCCTATCTAATAAAATTAATATGAAAATTAACCATCACTTTGCTACACCCACAAGCACACCCACCAGCCAATCAGAAGTGAGTATGGAAATTAACCCAACCAAGATTGCTACAGCCATAGAGCAAGCAGGAGGCTTGGGTTTCCCTGGCAATGGAGGAAACCAAGCTTTCTGCATACCCTGGTAGGCCCAGGCCTTCACTCAAGGCTACAAAGTTTCAATTATAGAAGATAAATAAATCTCAACAAAAATGGCTGTGGCCACAGAGCAGAAGGCTTGGCTCTGCTCCAGGCTACAAAGTTTCAATTATAGAAGATAAATAAATCTCAGATCCCAGGGCCTCCATTTGGGTCGCCGGGAGGCATGACTGGCTTGCAAACCACCACAGGTCCCTCACCCAGGCCACCCCATGCCCCAAGGCTGGCAGGCAGAAGCAGTTAGGGGCATCAGGAAGGCAGGCAGTTGGGAGCCAGCAGTCCTGGATTGTGAGAGGGCTGTCCAACTGAGGTCCTACCAGGATCGGGCCTAAACAGGCAGTTGGACATCCATTGAGAGATCCCAGATTGGAGAGGATGCAGGCTGGGCTGAGGAACACAGCCACTGTGCACAAGTTTCGTGCACCAGGCCTCTAGTTACCTGTCATAGAACTGTTCAATTGGGGAAAAGCAGTTTATAATCTGACTAGAGGGCCAGTGCACGGAATTCGTGCATGTGTTGGGGGGTGTCCCTCAGCCCAGTCTGCACCATCTCTAATCTGGGACCCCTTGAGGGATGTCTGACTGCCCGTTTAGACCTGATCCTGGCAGGATAGGGCCTAAACAGGCAGTCAGACATCCCTCTCACAATCCAGGACTGCTGGCTCTCAACCACTTGCCTGCCTGCTTTTCTGATTGTCCCTAACCACTTCTGCCTGCCAGCTTGATCACCCCCTAACCACTCCCATGCCAGCCTGATTGATGTCTAACTGCTCCCCTGCCTGCCCCCAACTTCCCTCCTCTGCCGGCCTGATCACTCCTAACTGCCCTCCCTTGCAGGCCTGGTCCCTCCCAACTGACCGCCACTGCTGGCCATCTTTTGGTGGCCATCTTGTGTCCACTTAGGGCAGGATCTTTAACCACATGGGGGTAGCCATCTTGTGTGTTGGAGTGATGGTCAATCTGCATATTACTCTTATATTAGATAGAGGCTGGTGCATGGGTGGGGACCAGCTGGTTTGCCCTGATGGGTGTCCCAGATCAGGGTAGGGATTCCCTTGGGGCATGGGGCAGCCTGAGTGAGGGGCCTGTGGTGATTTGTAGGCCAGCCACGCTCCCTGACAATGCAATCAGAGGCCCTGGTATCTGGAATTTATTTATCTTCTACAATTGAAACTTTGTATCCTGGAGCAGAGCCACACCTCCTGCCTGCTCCATGGCAGCAGCCATTTCTGTTTGGATTTGTTTACATTCTATAATTGAAACTTTGTATCCTTGAGTGGAGGCCTAGGCCAGCCAGGGCAGGTGGAAAACTTGGCTTCCTCTGTTGTCAGGGGCAACCCTAGCCTGCTCTCTCTAGCTCTGTGGCTGCCACTATTTTTCTAGGGATTTATCTTCTATAATTGAAACTTTGTATCCTTGAGTGGAGGCCTTGGCCCGCCAGGGTGTGTGGAAAGTTTGGCTTCCATTGTCAGGGAAACCCAAGCCTCTCAACTGCCCTCTGTGGCTGCAGCCATTTTGGTTATGGTTAATTTGCATACTCACTCTGATTGGCTGGTGGGTATGGCTGGTGGGTGTGACTTGAGCAGAGTGATGGTTAATTTGCATATTACTCTTTTATAAGGTAGAATGCATAGAGATTCTGCAGGTTTCAGCCAACATGGTTTTGCGCAAAGTTATTGTGTTACCGTGTTGGTTTTTTTTTATTTTTATTAAACAACAGAAACATTTTCTTGCAGTTATAGGGACTACAAGTTCAAGCTCAGGGTGCTGGCTGGTTGGTTCTTTTAGGCCCCTCTCCTGGGCATGCAGTTGGCTGCTTCTGTGATCCCACATGACCATTTTTCTTGCTGTCTCTCTTCCTCTCTCTCTCTGTATAAAAGGGCACCAGTCATATTGGATAATGTACCAATTTTTAAAATAAGAGAAAATGAATAGCCCTAAGAGTAGGCATTATCTATACTAAGTGTACCAGTTAATAATAGCAGATTTTGTAATAAAAACATGATAATTTCAAGAGAAATATCAAAAGTGCTTTATTCAAAGTAATGTCCAACACAAACTACACATTTCCCCATATTTTTGGTAATTTGTGGATACCGTACCA